GCTTCCATGTGGTGACAGACTAAGGATGCAGAGAGACAGGGCTGGGAGCCCAGATGGGAGGAGCTTCCTAGTGATACGGAGCTGCCCAGGGAGGTGGGTGTGGAAGGCTGTTGCCTGGCCATTCCTTTAGTATTTGGTGTTTATTTATTTAGTATTTAGTATTCACACATGGGATTGGATCCACAGACACACAAGTTCGTGGATGCCCAAGTCCTTATCTAAAACAGTCCAGCATTTGCTTGGATCTCACACACTCAGATGATCTCAACCCAGGGCTCTATGCATGCTAAAGCTCTCTCCCAGCTGAGCTACATTCCCGGCCCCTTTCTGTCTACTTTCCTGTACTTCCTTCCCATCTCAACTGGTCCATTCTTCTAGTCAAGTGAGGCCTACTCCTTTCGGCCCCATCTGTTCTAAATACTCACCCCCACTCTACCCAAATATTTCACTAACACTCTAAAATCTCTGTCCATGCGTCCTCTAGCCTCTCTCCTTTCTCCTCTCACTCACCTATCTGCTGACTACCCACCATGCCACCTCCCTTGCTCATCCTTCCTGTCACACACCCCCAATCTAAGTCACCTGCTTCGGTCTGCATGTGTGAAGTGACTTCCCCATAGTTCTGCTGACCTTCCAGAACTTCACAAGGCCTCAGCATGGTCAGGCTCCAGTGAGGTCTGCACTCTTCTGGGTTGTAGGCTCTTCACATCTCTCACACATGGAAGGGTAAAGGTCATGTGGAGCCTTTGCTATGTAAGGGCTGCCCCACTCTCCAGGGCCCCACCCCCTGCCATCGCTGGGGGCCAGGACCCGCACTGTATACGCTGGTGGAGTGCACAATCAGAGCTCAGCACTTCCTGACCATTTGGTCCCCATCAGCCACCGTTTCCTTTCCATCCCTTCAGCACTGGAGGATGAGCTGGCACCCACTGGTCTGCCCACCCAGGGTTTTCCCTCTCTCCCTTCCCTTGATGGATTTATCTCTCAGACCATGAATGTTCATTAGAAGGCTGCCTGTTCATAGTCCCGCTCATCTGCCCTTCTCGTCTAACACTCTTATCGTCTTTCCCTGCTTGCTCTGATGGACTCACCCACCAGTCTCTCCAGTATGCTCCATTCTCCTCTACCACAGCAGATTTCATCTGTCACCTCTCAGGCCCATGGAGCACTGCCTGTCTTTCCTGCTTGGGTTGCTTCTCCAATATTCCGCTCCTGCCCTACCCACATACTCTGCTCCTCTTATGTTTCCTATTGCTTCTCTGTCCAGTATCCCAAGTCTTACTGCTCCCATTTGGTTTCCTGGTCTTTGAATTTGGGTTCCTCATCTTTGTGGAGCCAGCTCCCCCAGGGTCCGATGTGGTGTCTTTCACGTGTTCATCTCTGCCCTCCACCTCCTCCTTGAAAGCCGGACTCAGCAGCACTGCTGTCCCCGCTGTCCAGCCGTAAGCCTGGTGCCGGAACCTGCACTGCCGAGCTCCCTGGCTGCCCAGTTTTCCTTCTGCAGCTTGACTTTTGTTTATCCTCAGGCCACCTCATCTCAAGCCCCATCCATCTTCATACACCGTGCTGAACTCGGCATTGTCAGTGCCGCCCTCAACACAGGTCCGGAGCCCATCTGTCAGCCCACTCTCATGGCCACAGCTCTTGTCCGTGGTAAAGACCCATGTCCTCCAGGCCAGACTCTGCCTCCTCCCTGCCTGACCTGCATCCTCAGCCAAAGTCTCCTTAGGGTCTGTCTGGCTTTCCCTTTCTTCTGGCTCTATGTCGCTCTGAAAAGCTGTCACAGAGCCCCGCCATCTTCTCGATGGCTTCCCTTGATCTCCCCAACTGTGCTCTGATCTCAGGCACCCCTTATGGGTCTCTGCTCCCCTGACCTGGTGTGCTTCCCCCCATGAGACCAAACCCGTCACTGACTTGGTGGCAAACATCCACTCAATGAAGTCTCTCTGGGCTATTTGCTGAGGCTGGATCTCCCAGGACACCTTTGACCCCTAGCATCGTCAGATCTCTCTCTAGCCCCCCTATCCCATGGATACCTGCCCTGCTTGCCCTGTGCCTTGTGACTCTTCACTGGTCTGTGAACCACGAGGACAGAGGCTTTTCTTTGTTCCATGCTGCACACCAGGGCACAGCTGGGCTATGCATGGCTGCCGTTACACATCCAGGATGCCAGAGCAAGCGCGAAGTAAAGACTGACTGACTGGCTGTTTGGTTGATGAATTTGAGAGTCTGTACCTATCTTCCATTCATTAGTCAATGGTATATTCTTTTAACCTCCTCCCTCTTTCTCCTCACCCATCCCACATGTAATCTAAATCTGTTTGTCGACCCATCCCACACATCCAGCAGACATATCAGAAATTCATCCCAAAGATACAAAATGCACCACTATACCCCATCTGACACACCTTCAAAAACCTATCTGCCCACCTGCCCAACCCATCAGCATGCTTCTATCTAGGCGTCGATCCTAACTACATAAATGTGTTACTATTTCCCATGTACCTGTTCAATCATCCAATGCACCCTATGCAAGCAACATACTTCCTGTCTCCTCACACCACGTGCTCTGCTCATCCGGGACACATGTATTCATACACTCGTCTGTCTACCCACCCCCCCAACAAACATCCACTCATATCTCTCTGTCCTGCTGTTTCCATCTGACCTAGGTTCCTCTGTGTACCTCCCTCCCTCACCCAGCATATGGCCAAATTCACCTACTGTCTCTTCTGTCCATTGAACACACATCAAAACACCAGTGGCCCCACTTGCCTAAGCTACTTGGAGTGTGTGTGTGTGCGTGTATGTGTGTGCGTGTGTGTGTGAGAGAGAGAGAGAGTTTATTTACCTGTCCCCCCCACACTGTTCACTTGATATTCACTTCTGTATTTATAGCTACCTTCTAGCCTCCAGAACTGTCAAAGAATAAATATCTATTTTCTTAAAAAAATAAGATGCAAAAGAACAAGGGTGAGTCGAGGCTGTCCTGCACACTCTCTGCTACTCAGCATTGTTCTAGAATCCTCTTTGTCTTCCTCATAGGAGCCTATGAGCAAGATGCTGAGCCAGGAGCATGAGACTAATCACGGCCTTTCCCAACAGTGTGCGGTGGACACTGCACAGTCTTCACCCCACAGGCAAGCATTAGGAGAAGCCACAGGGCCCATTAACTCTGTGCGGTGACCAGTGGACACCTGCAGAGCTTCTCTACCACAGCTGTGGCCGGGAGGAGGGTCTGACAAGAGGAAGTAGAACAGCTGGTTTGTTAAAGAGAACACCTGGCTAATGATTGCAGCGGGGTAGTTGAACTAGATATGGAATATACTTGCTAGAGATTCAGTGTCTACAGCAAGCATCCATGAGGGAATGGGTTTGACATTACAGCTGCAAACCAAGTAGGCTAATACTAAATCCAAGGGAAGATAGAATTTAATTTTCTAGAGAAAATGATAAAACGTTATCAAAAACTTCACTCAAATTGCGCAAGCTAAGTAAATGGGGTCACACCTCATTCTCGGTGACAGAGATACTGGTTCCCTCTCAGATCACCAGAGGGCAGGATCTTACTCCCACCCTTGCTCTCCTGACTCCTCATTCCTCTTTCCACGGCCTCTCCATCCAGTTCACATAGAGCACAACCCACCCTCTAAGTCACCCCTGCCCTTTGCTGGATCCTTTCCCCTCCTTTCTCTACCCCAGCCCAGGCCTTCCTCCTCTCTGCTTCCTCTGCCCGCTGTTGGGTACCCATCGCACACCTCCTCCTCTCCCTTGCCCCACCTTACCACTCCTTCCTCCCCAGGACAGTCCCTCCTCCTAGCAGGCCTCAGTTGTCCTCTGCCTGTCCATATCCAACCCCATTCCTACCCACTCACCCCCCCCTCCCGCCACGCTTCCTGACTCTGGCATCAGCCAGTCCAAGTGTCTTTCTGTCCGGCTTCCTTCCTTCAACCAAACCCAGTCCTCATCTCCTGCTGTCATCTCCACCTCCATCTTCTCCTAGGCTCTGCTCTCAGCTTGCATCATGTTCAGCTGGTGCTCACTGGATTATGTCGTACACGGGGACTGTCCTAAGACATGTCTGTCCTGACCAAGTAGCCTCTTAGGAATGGTCAGCTCTGTTCTCATTTCTCTAGGATGTCTCGTCTACTCAGCGTCCTAGCTAGTGTTCAGCTAGGCAGAACTGATCACGACACCTTGGACACACACGTCACCACATCTCACGCCTACTGTTGCTGGCGTCGCAGCCCTATTCACCGTGCATCCGCTCTCTCCAGGGTCACCTTCCTCTTTCGTGTTAGATCACTTCAGATTCATTGAGCATTTGCACAAACTAAAACAGAAATTCCTGAGCATCCTCACAGGATACCTGTGTTCTTTGTTCCCCGTTTCCTTCTCTAACTAGACACTATTTACTTTACAAACCGTGAAAGATGAGTTTCTCGTTGACTATGCTCCCCAAACCGAGGTGGGGGTGCTTGTAGGACGGAGGTCCCGAGACTACTCAACGCTCACACCCCTGCTCCCCACCACTCCAACCTCCCTCCTCTACTGTCAACCTCCCCTGATGACCTCTGTATCCTTCTGCTGCTAGTCTCCATACCCCTCCTCCCATCTCCATTCCCGTTCCTTATTGGCTCCAGTTCCCCCTCCTCTGTTGTCCTCTCTCACCATCCCTCTGCTGGCCTCTGTCCTACCTCCTCTTCCGACTTCTGCCCATCTTCTTCTCCTCTGATGGCCACTGTCCTCTCTCCTCTCCTGACCTCATCCTCCTTCCTCTGTTGGCCTCTGTCCTGTCTCCTCTCCTGACTTCTGCATCTCTTCCTCCCCCTCTGATGACCATGGTCCCCTGTCCTCTATTGGTTTCCTCTTCCTGCTTTCTCTGACACCTCCCTCTTTCCTTCCTCCTCCTGCACTGACCCCTGTCTTTCTTTCTCTATTGACCTCCACCCACTGCTTCCTCTGACCTCTGCCTGTCTTCCTCCTCCTTCTGCCTCCAGGTTCGGGACAAGAAGCTCCTGAATGATCTGAATGGAGCCGTGGAAGATGCCAAGACAGCGCGGCTGTTTAACATCACCAGCTCTGCGCTGGCGGCCTCCTGCATCATCCTCATCTTCATTTTCCTGCGGTACCCCCTCACTGACTACTGAGCCCAGCAGGCAGTGGCGTTGGAGACACAGCACTGAGACTGATGGTCACTGAGATTCAGGATGCCGAGAGTGTGGGGCAGAATGGGCTTCTACCAAGGCCCAGAGCCATGCATGGCAGCAAGGCCACCAGAAATTGAGTGCCCAATGGAGCGGCACACTCCTCCCAGCTACCCTATCTGCCTCCTGCCCTGCCCTGTTGTCACTGGATCTCTGGGCTCCCTCTGTTGCTGCCTGGTTGCCAGTGACTTCCCTCCCTGACCCATGCACCCTACCCAAGCTCTTGCATCCCTTAGACCTGACACCCAGCAAGAAGGGCTTATGTGGGAGCTCCCAGAAGGGGAGCTGCCAGCACCTGGGACTCCCTCACTCCTGACCCCAACTTCCTCCAAGCTGTGATCCCTGCTCCAAGCTCTTGTATATGTGAACTTTCATTAAAACGTGTGCCCAGCTCAGTTTCATCTTCTGTCCGTGTTCCAAGCAGGGTCTAGGTGTCACCTGGATGTTTGGGGACCTTTATCAGGTGCTCCTTGCATTCCATGACCCCAGGGCCTGCACATGGTTAATTCTGCACAAGGCTTGCTCAGAAACCAAGTGGCCTTGGAGTGGCCAGGTGTGTAGGTTGGTAAAATGAGAGGTGTTAGGTGGAGGGATTCCACACAGGATGCACAGAGTTGGGAAGCCTGTAGGAGTGGGAGAGATGATGTGGAGTATCCAGGAAAACATCCTACAGTAACGGTGAAACCCTGCCAGTCTCAGGGTACTCCACAGGGTGTTGCTCAGGTTCTCACCTACTTAGCCCCTGAAATGGGGAGACTTCCTGTCAACTGAAGGTTCAAAAGTCAAGACCAACAACAGCATGTGCTGATCCTGGAAGTGGTGCTGCCCCAGAAGGGTGCTGCCCTGTGAGCTGGGGTGGGGGTAAGCTGAAAAATGGATGGTGGACAGAGTGGTCATAGCTCTTACCCTATGAGAGCCTGGTTGGTCTGAAAAAAATAGTAGATACCGTGGGGCTCAGATAGGGGCCAGTGACATGCTTAGTGGTGGGGAGGCTCGGCTCCCTTATCTGATCAAACCCTCAGCAGTGTCAGAAGTGTTGGGACAAGACAGGCACAAACAGAGGTCGTCACCAGCAGTGGGCACAGAGTGTAGATGGGGGTCAGTGGGGGGGGGGGCTGTGCACATGCAGAAGCTTGAACTTGTCTTAACCAGATAGCTGGAAGGTTAGACAAGACTGGATGAGAATGAGAGATGAAGGAGCCTGCGGTCACTGGGGTTCAATACATCCTGAGTGACATGGCAAGAAAAATAAATAAATAAATAAAAAATAAATAAATAAATAAAAAATAAATAAATAAAATTAAAAAAACCAGGCCAACCCCAAAGCAAAACGAGTCTGGGGAAATGGGTGGAATAAGGGGGAAAGGAGAACAGGAGCTGAGAACCCCCAGTCAGTGTTCTCTGCTCTCAGGTACACTGAGATGTGAATTAGCAGCCCACATTCCTCTGCCATAACCATGCCCTCCCACCCTTCAATCCCGAGCCAAGAGATACTCTGTGCTACATTGTTTCTCATCAGGTGTTTGAGCAGAGACAAGAAAATCATTGCACTTTTGCAGAAGGACAAAGATAAGAAAAGTGTATTTAAAGTGTGTGTGTGTCCGGGTCTTATTTTCAAAGCTGCAGGGGAGAGGTGACTGTTCATGAAAAATGATGGGCTATTTAGCACCTGCAGGAAATAGTGCATTTCTTGGGGCTCATCCGTAGGTAAGTTACTGGGCCATGGGGTTCCAAGAACACATTCTTTGGTAGGAGATGCCAGTTTTAAAGAGCTCATATCTCTGTTTTTATCAGAGGCTATGCCCCTGTGGCTCCATGCCCTCCCTGCTGCCTGGTGTCTGCATCTGCCGAGCTAATGGTGGTAAAATGGTAGCTTCAGCTTGTACCTCCCTGGATATTTGGCCCCTTTAGTAGAACATGGTAGAGTCCTGACCACTTCCTATGGGGCTGTCATTTTTTAGCCACTTCCTTGTCAGCCAGTGCTTGGAGGGTGTGGCAGGCAGCTCCCCACATCTTCTTGACACCATTCACATGGCTACTGCTTCTCGGTAACATATCAACAGAAGGCATTTGGGGGCTGAAGAGATGGTTCAACAGTTAGGAGTGCATACTGCTCTTCCAGAGGACCCAGGTTCGGTTCTCACAAACACACAGCACCTCAGGAACATCTGAAGCTCCAGCTCCAGGGGATCCGATGTTCCTGCATGCGTATGATACACATATATTCACACAGCAAAGGCATGGACCATAAATAAAACAAGAAATATATAGTTCTTAAAAACATATTTTTAAAATTGAAGACACTGGGATGAAAAGGCAGCTTTGTGACCATCAGAGTACCCATAGTGACTTGTGGGATGCTGGTGGGGGTCACATGAGCATTTATTTCCCAATTTTGTTTTGTTTTGTTTTGAAACAAGGTTTCCTATTTTGATTTGGAAGTCTTGGAGCTAGCTTTGTAGAGTAGGCTGGGTTTGAACTCACAGAGATCTTCCTGCCTCTGCCTCCTGAGTGTTGGGATTAAAGGCATGAGTCACCATTGCCTGGCTATTTTCCAAAGTATGAAGTCACAGGTTTTACTCTATGTAGCTTCTGTTCAACGTGCATCTGTTTATACATACACATTTATAGTATGTTGTTCATAAATGCCATAGTAGGAGACAACCAAATCACCCTTTAATATATTTTCGCATGCATAAGAATATAAAATATACGCATGAGCACATCTTGGTTTGAGTTTCCAGTAACTTCCCTGAGGGTAGTCATCCTGAAGTCATTCATAAATGATTCCAGCATAGAACAGGTGTTGTCTTTGATTTTTAAAGAAAAACTAGTTTAAAGAAATATTTGCTCATTATTATGTCTAGATACAAGCTGTCTCTGTGGAAAAAAAAGCAGGTTGAGAGAGGTTTAATGGTTATTATTAGGAACTAAAACACCTACAAAGAGAATGGGGAAAATCCATGGGGCAGGACACATAAAAGGAAGGGCAGGAGGAGAGGTTGCCAGGGACCCAGGTGTGAGGGCTGGTGATGGAGGCTGGCCATGAAGAGATAGGCCATATTAGGAAATGTGTCAGGGTTGTCACTGTCAGTGAGGATGGACACAGAAAGTCTGACAGGCTGGGAATCTATGGAGACATTGTTCACTGTTTCCCGGGCTGATGTCTTCTCCGGCTGCTCTCGTGGTAGACACTGAACCAGGCCCAGGACTGTTGCCCGGCCCCAGAAAGACCAGAAAGGAATAGGTTTTCAACGTCTTAGGTGCCATCAGTCTTTTCTGGTGGCTGTAGTGTATGTCACCTACTGGGACGTCTTTTTCTGTGAGGCAGTCCCTTTCCATGGTGACTTTTTTCCCTTTAAATCACAGACAGTCTTAACTTGTCTGCGCTTGCCTTTTAGAATTCTTTTCACATGTAGGTATACAATCGAGCAGAGTGGATGCAAACCCTGCCTGCTTTTCTGGACAGCCACTCTTTCTTTCTTTGTCCCTTCCAACCTGAGTCTTCTAAGGTTCTTCCCGGGGTGCGCTCCAGACCTGCAACCGCTGCAGAGCTACCTCGTGCTGTCCTTCTTCAGAAACCTCCTGACTACTCCACTCTGCTTTTCACTTGGTTTTCAGAATCCGTCTGTCAAGTACAGAACAAAAACAAAAGCAAAAGCCTCGTGGGAATTTGGTTAAATCCGTAGATACACCGGGGGGGGGGGGGGGCTTACATTTGTCCAACAACGCTGAATTCCCCAAATCCCTGAGTGTGCAGTAGGCTGCCTTTTCTTAGACCTCTCTTGCTTTCTGCCCAGAATGTTTTCTGATTTTCTGTACCGTCTCAAAGAGTTTGTCAGATTGATTTCTAGACAAAGAATTTTTATGTGGTTGTTAAAGCCACAGCCTGAGATATTTTCTTTTCTGGGTATACATTACAGTTGTCACGAAACATAACTGATATTCAAATCACAGGTGCACGGCCAGCATCTCTCTCAGTGGGTCTTTTGATCTGATTTTTTTTTTTCTGTAGCTGTGGGGCTCTATCTGTGTGTGCTCCCGGGGTATCTAAGCTCATCAGTATGCACTGGGTTTCTTCACTGTCTGCCTTTCCTAAGGCCTCATTTACAGTGTGGCAGCGCAGTTGGGAAAGCAGGCTTTCTCTGTGTAACCCTCACGGGAAAGATAAGTCCTTCAAGGTCATGTGACTGCCTAAGATATTTATTCTGATTATTTGCAGTTCTCTAGAATTTGCATAAGGAAGCTCACGGTTATTCATAATATGCCCATGAGGGCTTCCTTGCTAGACTGCAAAGATGATAGGACAAATTTTAGCATTCCATAAAAACATACATTAAAAAGTAATAAGCTTGGGGTTGCGGAGGCACTCAGTGGGTAAGGCGCCTGTCCTGTAATCATGAGAAACCCCAGGACTCACATGAAAGCCAGCCACTGGCACTGGGGAAGGAAGCAAAGGCAGATCCCAGGGGCTCACTGGCCAGCCAGACAAGTAGAATTGGTGAGCTCCAGCTTCATGGGAAACCTGTCTCTGAAGATAAAATGGAGAGTAACTGAGGGAGACATCCAACGTCAACCTCCGGCCTCTGCATGGCCTTCCACACCCCCATTCAAATAAGATTAAACAGTAAAACTCATACTCGTGCTGGGCACATATCACAGGGACTTCGGCACATCAGCGTTCACTGCAATACTGTTCACGATACGGAAGTTCCAGACCGGTCTGGGTGTCCATCAGCAGGAGGATGAATAAAGAAAATGTAGTGCACATGGACAGTGGTTTTCAGTCAGGGTGCAAGGCTGAAGAAGCTGGAATCTGACGTCAGCAGAGGACCAGCAACGGCAATGATATGTCATGGCCAGTCTTGGCTGTCAACTTGACTGCATCTGGGATCCACTAAAACCCAAGCTGCTGGGCACTCCTGTGATGGATTTTCTCAATCAGATTACCTGAAGCCAGAAGTCCCACCCTTCATCCGGGACACCTTCTGACGGCAGCCCATGTAAAAGGGCGTGGAAGAGGAAGCGCTGTGTTTGCCTGCTCGCCCTCACTCTCGCTGAATATCGTTCGCATGTATGTCTGCACTGTGTGCATGTGGTTCCCAAGGAGGGCATCAGCTCTCTTAGAACTGGAGGTATAGATGGCTGTGAGCCATCATGTGGGTGCTGGCAAGCAAACCTGGGTCTTTAGCAAGAGTAACAAGTGCTCTTAACCATGAGCCAGCTTTCGAGCAATTTTTTAAAAATTAATTTTTTTATTATTCTGTGTATGATGTGAGCATGGCCACACATGCGTCATAGAACACGTGAAGGTCAGAGTTTAGAGTCCGTTTTCTCTTTTTACTCAAGGTCATCCGGCTTGTGTAGGAAGTGCCTTTGCCCGCCTTGCCAGCACAATGATGTTTACTTTCTA